TTTTGACAATTATATTATTTATTATAAGCATGCTTAAGCGTAGTTTGCTCGCCATATTAATTAATTATTAGACATGAAGCTGCTCCACCAGGAGCTGCCTGACTTGCGTACCCCGTATAGCACAAGCAGAAATAATTTGGAAGGCTAGAGTCGCCGTATTAATTATTAGACATGAAGCACAGCCAATGAAGATCTCCGACCAGTCATGTACCAAGTTAGTGTAGAAGATCCAGCTTTCAAAAAGTTTTCTTTTAATTAATAAAATATTGATACATATTTTTTAAAAAAAATAAACAACTAATAATACTTAATTAATAATTAAATGTGCATAACTACATGGAATCAAATACTCGTAACAGTTAACCATCTAGGTGGTGGTCAAGGGATTTGCTCCCTCTATAATCTCAAGTTCGAGTCCTTAGTTGCTCATATCATGGTTATTAGAGGCTTACATGGTCGTTAATTTCAGGGCACATGAGATTAGTCATAGTATGTACAAGCTGACCCGAACACTCACATTAATTTAAAAAAAAAAATAACCGTAGCAAACATGTTAACTTTATAGACACCAATTAATTTCCAGTTTTAAAACTTATTGTATATAGTAAGCTACTTATTAGACTAATTACAAAAGGATTAATGATAGGTTTTTTTTATTCAAGTAGTTCACTGCTGGAAATTATAGTGATAATTATTTTATTTTATTTTTAATTTATTGGGAAAATAAATAGCAGTTCTTGAATTTTTATTTTAAATCAATAGTCAACCCAAAGCAACTATAACATGCATGTTTTTACACCAAAAAAAAGAGTTAATTAAAAGAAGTGGAGAAATCGTTTTAAGCTTTGTTTGAGTTTTTACCCTCAAAAAATTCAAATTTAAATTTGGATTTTTTAAAAAAATAATAAATAACATCAAAACTTATAATGCCATGTCATTCACATGTCATTTAAAAAACAATATTATTTTTTTTGTTACTTTTTTTGGTTAATGTATCTCTTCCTGCACACATCCTTATCTTTTTTAACAGCGCAAATCATTAATTAAACCCAACTTAGATGGTATAATGCAAAGCATTATACTCATAAGTATACAATTGCATGCACTTGCCCTATCTCACCTCTTCTACCCCAAACCAAATGCAATTCAGGCAGAGTTTGAGCTTAGATAATTAAAAAGTTGGACGCGTCACTAAATTCAGGTCTGAAAATGAGAAACCTGCCCTAGAAGTGAAGTCACTACTTATGTAATAAGCATGTGTAGGGCGGTGGGACTTAATTTATGATCATGTGTGATGTCCCAATAACCATAGCAGGTGATGACTGCCTTCCTTGACAAAGACAGATAGCTAAAATGTGTCATAAAACTCCTACCCTTTTGAACAATTATTTGTTAAATTTTGCATGCAAATGCAATCAAATGGTTCTTGTAGTACAACTCCCTCGACATGGGATTAACATCAATTTATTTTTTTAGTCTCGAGAAGGAGAATTATTGGTCGATGTCGGCAAATGGAGTTTACTAATACTAAGGTCTAAGTAAGGGGTGATTATATATAGCAGCCGATTAATCACATGATTCTTGACATATGGACATGGTATCTGGGTTGATAAAAAAACTGGGTGACATATGCAGTACTATCTTCTGGGTGACATATGCAGTACTATCTTGCTCATAAACAATGGCATTTCGGCCGGCCATGATTTTCTGATCGGCTTGTTTAATTCGTTGTCTTTGTGTAGAGTAGAAAGAAGCGTGGCCAAATTGTTTAAATTTCTTTATATTTTTTTAACGTAAACTTGAGTTGACTTTGAACAAGCCAAGTGCTCAACAACCAGAACCACCAAAAGGGATGGAAACCCACTTAAAAAATTGAACACATGAAAAATATGAGCAGGTGGCTGGAGGGTTTCAAATTTAGTCTCTTGGTTTGGATATGAATAGCAGAATAGGCAGTGTTCATGCCCTCATTTCCTCCTTCGCAACCCAAAAGAACGCCCCCACCACAAGCATTCCTCCACGACCTATGACTCTTTCCACGCCGCCTGGATGCCATGCCCCTACCATTTCTGTTGTCTTTCTACCAAGTTTGTTGAATGGTATTCTTGTTTACATTCATCGGAAACCATTTTATACTCCTGTGATAATCTTGCTACCATTTTAATTTATTCGCTAGCGGCAGGCATTAGATCTCTTGATCATGCCTTGCATGCCTCATCTATGTATGTATATTATATGGAGTATTTAGAGTTTGTAACGATTCTTGAAATATTAATTTATAGAGTTTATATTGTATAAGAAATATTTAGTGTTTATTTGATATGAATTTTTATTTTATTTTGAGTCATAATTAATCAAAAGTTGATTTTTACATATAACTTTCAGCAAAAATGAGTTGGAGTAATTTTAAGTGACCCAATTTTTTTTAAAAAAAAATTATATGGTATAAATCATAATTCAAAAGTCAAAAGTTTTAATTTTTCATTAAATTAAAATTCAAAAACTATATATACTACTTTTATTTGAGTCAAAAGTGAAAAACAACTTGGGTAAATTTACAAGAATTGTACCAAAGATAAACTTAATGATTAACCCTGTAAATTATATATATATATATATATATATATATATATATTATCTTATCTTATCTCCTAGAACTATCGAACCAATGAACTATATAAACTAAATTAATGATCGATGAACATGAAGCCATCACATTACTTTCTTGCCACTTGGAAGTTGGAAGCTTTGATGATAATGTATGTCTCGAAAGACCTTGACATTACGTATTTTTAACTTTGATTTCAAAGAGATGTGGGGCTGAGACAACTCTGTCCATTGAAATACGATCCTCTACTATTCTTCAGCATAGGACAAATTCAATCCCCTGCTCGCTAGGTTTGAACTTTGTGAAAGAGACCCTACTATTTGTTAGTAATGGTGATGGGGTTGAAAAAAACTTTAAGTAATTATTTTTTTATATTTATTGGAGAAAAAGAAAGATACTAATAAGATTTTATTTCCAGCATAGTTGGGATACCTAATTGACCACACGTGTTGCTACGCCCTTTGTGTATAAATTTATATTATCTGGCTACCAGTTGCTTATTTCACTAAAGACATATATCATCACATATAAGGACCGTAAACAAAAGCCAGCAACTCATAGCAAACCGTCCCTGCTAAAATCTCAGGATGTATCAGGGTTTGTAGTTTTTAGTAAGATCGATAGTTTTTGTTATTGTAGTTTGGAAAAAAAAATTATAAGTTATAGTTTTTTTTATCATAGTTTGAAAGAATAATTTGCAGTTGAATCCATATAGAATTATAATGTGTATTAATTGATGAAATATTTTTAAATTTATAATTAAAAATAATAAAATACTGACTGCATCGATCACACTATACTATAAAAAATAATCGACACATACGTAAATTTTATAATCTCTTTATTAATCTCAAACAATATTTAGGAGTTTCAGCACCATGAATTATTTACAGTAGTGTTAATTACGAGGTTTGACAATTTGGTTTTCCTTAATAAAAAAAACTTTGACACTAATTAATTATCCTCCCATTTTCCCTTGACGGGGGAGTAGCTAGCTAGCCTGGCCATGCATGCCCACCTGCTCGCATGGTGTCTATCTATACCTAGATGGGTGAATTTTGTACTTTTTATGTAGTGGTTCAAGTTAGGCTGTCCACCACCACCATTTATGGTGATGGCAAAGGTAACCAAATACCTCAAGAGTGAAATTAAAAAATATACATTATAGTTGAAAGCAGCTAATAATAATGCAAAAATCATGGGAATTAATACTGATCGAATTAACCCAAAAAAAAGTTGGTAATTTCTGGTTGTTAATAATGATGGATGTTGATTTATTAACCCTAGCTAGCTCATTGCATGAGATGATCATAAAATGTCAACACTTCTTTTTCTTCTAAACAGAAAGTCTACAGGTTTGGTTCCTACATGTCTCGTGATCTCATCCCAGGTAGAGCAAGATTTCTTCTTCTTCTTTTTTTATCCACTGAGATACTCCTGTTTGGTAATAACTCTCTCCTTGCATATACATGCCTTTGAAGTTCATGAAGTTGGGAGTCTGTTTTAGCTTCTAAAACCAATTAATATGGTGTTTATAAATTAATTAAGCAAGCTTCTACGAAGGGATAATTCTGTGTTTGGAATGGATATTGGTATGTGCATGCATGGATGCAATAAACTTCATGGCGACAATTATTGACATTGCTGATCTGCATCTTACTTCAAAGTTCACCAAAACAAGGTTTTGGATTTGGAAAAGAAATCGGGAAAGTACCAGATAATCTTAGCAGACATGCTAGAGGGATGAGAAATGAAATAGAGTTAGCAGTTATATATATATCTTCTTATATTTATAATAAATAATATTTAGATAACAAATATATATCCATATGAATATCTCTAACCCTATAGATTGTATCTAAATCTTCTACGTATCTATTGAAAAATAAATTATATATAGATATACAAATTCAACTAATAGATACTCGTTATCATCCATAACTACATGCTATCAAAACTTGAACTTCAATTACCATCTTGGTTGCAAGAAGTTAAGAATTTGCACCAGCTAATTATAACTCCTATATATTCTCCAACTTTCTACAAACAACTTCCATAGAAGTTGTGATTGTGTTAATAAAACGAAGCATGCAAGCAGTTGCATCAAAAGAAAATTAAATAAAGCATCCAATCCTTTCAAATTATCCAGGACGCCAAGACACGAACTCCGAACAAAATTTGCATTTTTTATTCGGACAGTTAAAATTGTATTTTTTAGAAATTTAATTTTGTTTTGTTTAAATTTTATATTTTTAAATTATTTTAATCTATCAATAAAAAATAAAAAATATATATTATTTGAATATATTTTTAAGTAAAAAAATATACTAAACCATAGATATTACCACAGCACGAACAATCATAATCATTTAACTATAAACGTTGAAAATCAATCGATGTTATCGTCACCAGTGCCCTCTCATGTAAGAAATTTGACATGAACTGCCACACAAACACTCATTTCTTTCATTCACATTTGAAAATTTTCATGCTTATCAACAGAGCATGCATTTCATCAACACGTCTTGGACTCTCAAATTTCAACGAGAATATAATTTTGTCCCGACTAGAACTTGTACAAAAGTCCATTTTCTTTTTTTTGGAGGTCACCAAGAATGAGAGGCCCTACTAGCTAGAAAAACGATGAACTTGACTGCATAAAAACACAAACAGGAAAAAGCTAGTGGTGGAAAAAGTAAACCAGATCCATGGAAGTGCCTTTCAGTGAACTTACGAGGCGTTTCCTCGTTCATACAAGAATACAGCAGGCCTTTCTTGTGTCCCAGTGTTGAAAATAAAGTAAGGCAGTCCATGAGCAAGAAATATTACACATGGGGGGCCATGGTATAAACGGGGGTCCATATTTTTGTGAAACTTTCTTCATCTTTATGACCTGGTCTCCCTCTTTCCCCACCAATCCACCCACTTAAAAATCAAAGTATATATTTATGCAAATAAAAGTCTCATTTTATTGACCTAAAGTGTAAAGCATACGTGCAAACTGATCTCTGAATCACTAAAATTAATTTCAAAAATATTAAATCAATTAACTAGAGATTATTGACAGTTAATGTTTCCTGTCCTCTATCCTCTCTGCATCATTCCTTGTGCAACCCCATCACCCTCACGCTCTCCTGTCTTCCTTTTTTGAGGTCCAATTTTCCTCGCACCAATGAGGATTGCCGCCATTGTCATTATTCTTTCCTGGAGGGAGCTCACCATGAAAACGCCCTCATTGATTATTTATTAATTTGTTATGAGTTCCCTCAAATTTTAAAGGCCAACATTGTGTCACTGGAAAGCATTGTATATTATTATTATTATTATTATTGTAGTGTAAAATTGAGGATGATTGAAGATAAGGTTGCGTTGGCAAAATTACATTGGTTTAACATTTGGAATAAAAAGTTACAATGAAATTTGCTGTTTTGCAGCTGATCAAGGATTGATGGGAAAATAAGATTCCAGTAATTAATCTAAGTTTGATTGATTTCCAAAAGTCTATGAACTATATTGATTGTAATTATAGTTATTATTAATTCAAAGAATTATCTCCTCGGATTAAATTACTTACAACACTAACACTTATAAAATTAGTAATAAATTGGTTTTATTTTGTGGCTTGTTTAAGTGAAATTTGTAATTACAAAACATGGATCGGTTGTAAGAACTTGAGATCTCGGGTTTAATTATAAGATTTCAAGTTTAACACTTTTTTAATTTCCTCAGCCATGAAATTGACACAGCTTACACGTTTTCATATTTTTGGTAATAAGTAACCTATATTGTTTTAACTATTAATGGCAAAAACCATAATTACAGTATTTGAATTCATACTTCAATTAAGTTTAATCTATATAGATCATGTGTTTGCATTTGGTTCTTCAACATTAAATATATCTACCAACATGTTTATAAACAATAATATTTACTGAATAATTGTGATTGCACAAAATATATATATATATATATATATATATACACGTGTGTGTTTTATTTTAAAATTATTAAATAATATATACATTAATATATTATTAAATAAAAAATATCTTTAAAAAATATCATATACTATAATACTAGCTAGTCTTGTTCGACATTATTATTTAGCCATGCTTACGAAATTTTTTATTTTTTAAAAACTTAAATTATTTTTTTATACTTTTAATTGTTTTAATGTGTTTTTAAAAAATATAAAATATTATTTTAATATATTTTAAAATAAAAAACATTTAAAAAAAACATCTTCCATAATCTCAAATACACAAAATTACTTATCGCTACTTCTGGATAATCATTCATTAAAGTTAATTTGTTCAAAAACATATAAATGACGTCATTCGTACCCTGTATGACGTGATTCCCGGGCGTCCTTATCTTCACCTAACCACGATCACGATACGTGCGTGACAAGACGTAACCAAAGTCCAAAAGATACCCACATGGCCCTTTCTTGGAATATATGGAAACGTGGCAAGAAACTATTGCTTCACTTAGTTTTCTGTAAAAGTTTGAATTGACCGCAATTAAAAAAACACTAGCAATTTGAAAAGGCTAGAGCAACTAACTTTGGGTTTCTGACAGCGTAGGGTTTTCTTATTTTTATTTTTTTACAGTGTTTTAAAATATATTAAATAATATATTTTTATTTTAAAAAAATTATTTTTGATATCAATATATCAAAAAAATTTAAAAAAATTAATTTAAAATAAATAAATAAATAAAATTTAAAAACACTTTAAAATAAAAAACAAACAATTTATTTATAAAATAGTATTCTAATTCAAGTTAAAAAATAAGTTTTGCAAGTATATATTAAAATAATATTTTTAAAAATTTTTAAAATTTACTTTTAATATTGATACATAAAAATAATTTAAAACAACAAAATAAATTTTAATAAAAAACAAGCTCAAATTTAATATCTAACAAGCACAATAATGAAATAAATTCTACTATTATTAAACAAGGATAATATTTATTTTTTAAAATATTTTAAAATAAAAAAAAAATTAATGAAAAACTAGTTCAAATTTAATATCATAATAATAAAAATAGATTCTACTATTATTAAATATGGCCAGTGTTTATCTATCCTTTAATCTGGTCATGTGTTTAAAAAAATCAATTTTATATTGACTTGAATAAAATAATTAAAACTCAAATTAACTATTTTTAATGATAAATTCAAAATAATATTATTTTAATTTAAAAAATTAAAACAACATCCAACATCCACCATACAGATCTAATTGCTTTGGTAGATTTTGCTAAAGCGTCACACTTGTCATATTTATTTAATGACCGGATATTTAAAAAATTAATTAAAAATATAATAAATTTATAAATTTAATCAGATGTGTTGGGATGAGCATTACCTTTTCATTTTAATATTTATTTCGAATAAAAGTGTTTAAATACACATATAACTTGATCACAAGTAAATTATTGCTAGATTTGGATTTTATCAGTTTTCTGTCCATTGTGATAGTTTTTTTCAATATATGTTTATATACACGGTTAATAACAGGTAACAGTAAAAAAACTAAACAATATTATTACTTCAGTTGGTAAATAATTGTTTGTTTTTCTGTTATATATATATTTAAAAAAATTTCAATTTTTCGATTTTATTTTTTTAGTTTTAATATGTTGATATTAAAAATAAAAAAATATTATTTGAATTTATTTTTAATTAATTTTTTTTTAAAAAAAAACATGATACAAACACCCACCCGGTAGAGAAAAAAACATCAGTCAATCAATGATTGGATCAGATTTCCATTTCTACCCGTGATAAGTTGACCGTTCACCGAGAATTGGTGACATGGTGGGAGGTTGAACTACTACCATGGGTGACTTTAACATTGGATGATGACTAGGCAAAGAAGAAATCTTGTTTTTGTGTTTTAAAAATGATTTTGAAAATTTAAATTTTTTTTTTTACATTAATATTTTTTAATATTTTTAAATAATTTTTAAAAAATAAAAAAAATATTTTAATATATTTTTAAAGATAATTATAACCATATTCTACAACATGCTATAAAATAATCAAGGGCAGGTATGGAATTTGAAGAGATTAGTACGGAGAGGGGGACATGGGGTTTTGGTCTGTGGGTTAGGGATCAAAGAAAAGAGGATTAAGGTATTGTCTGAATTGCTAGATGTAAGGAGGCAGAGTTAAAGTGGGCCCACAGCCTGGATTAGTGTAAACTAAGCATGGGACAAATTTGTGGGTCCCATTTTGTTGGGTTCGTTCTAAAATATCTTTTTTTATTTTTTCTGCTTGGCTCTCTCTCTCTCTCGTTCAAGGCTCACCTGTTAATGTTTTTTAATTTAAGTCTGTTACGTCCAGCTGACTTCCATTCCATTCCATTCCATTCTCTTCCATCACCGACGCTGATGTTTCATCTCCTGCTTACCTCTGTGTTATTACCAAATTAACCACGCCATCATCATTTCCCCGCCATACCTAACTTTTAATTGAGTGTTTCACAATGTGGTAATTTATATTTTTTAATATATTTTATTTGATGAAATATAAAATTAGTAAAAAACAAACTTTACACGGGTTGAGTTCATCCGTCCATAACCATATCATTTTAAGAGTTTTTTATACAGAAAAGTTTAAATGATATTATTAAAAAAAAAAAATTCCTACTCGGTTCAATAAGAAATCTAACTTGAATTATGCTCATGTTAAAGAAATAATTATATTAACTTCATTAAACCTGATTAATAATACTTTTTCATAGCGAATATAACTATACTAGAGTGAGCACGAGCCTAGTGTATAGATGGAAAATATTATTTGGTACAAAATACTGATCAATAGAAAAAAATCCATTCAATGATAAAAAATATTTTTAGATTATTTTTTATTTCAATGAAAACTAAGATTTTGCTTTTAAATAATGAGCAAACAAATTGATATGACCATAATAAAATGGTTGTGATTTCATAATTACTAACTATTATACATCTGGCAAGGGATCAATCTCCCATCATCGTCACGTCAATTTAAGTAGAAGTTTCTTTGCATATTTTGTGGGAAACCTATATTTTTTGACAATTATATTATTTATTATAAGCATGCTTAAGCGTAGTTTGCTCGCCATATTAATTAATTATTAGACATGAAGCTGCTCCACCAGGAGCTGCCTGACTTGCGTACCCCGTATAGCACAAGCAGAAATAATTTGGAAGGCTAGAGTCGCCGTATTAATTATTAGACATGAAGCACAGCCAATGAAGATCTCCGACCAGTCATGTACCAAGTTAGTGTAGAAGATCCAGCTTTCAAAAAGTTTTCTTTTAATTAATAAAATATTGATACATATTTTTTTAAAAAAATAAACAACTAATAATACTTAATTAATAATTAAATGTGCATAACTACATAGAATCAAATACTCGTAACAATTAACCATCTAGGTGGTGGTCAAGGGATTTGCTCCCTCTATAATCTCAAGTTCGAGTCCTTAGTTGCTCATATCATGGTTATTAGAGGCTTACATGATCGTTAATTTCAGGGCACATGAGATTAGTTATAGTGTGCATAAGCTGACCCGGACACCCACATTAATTTAAAAAAAAAATAATCGTAGAAAACATGTTAACTTTATAGACACCAATTAATTTCCAGTTTTAAAACTTATTGTATATAGTAAGCTA